ATCGTCGGAGGCTTTTTTTCCTCCTCTCAGCTGATCGTCGGAGGCTTATTTTTACTCCCAGTTTGAACCACCACCACTGCTCTGGAGGGAGTGGGGCCCATGATATTCTTGCATGCTTTTGGGAGGCTTATAGGGGGAAATGGGCATCTTAGGCCTTACAGGCCTTGGGGCCTTATATGCCCCCTCAGGCGTCTTCCAACCTCCCTAGAAGAGATTCCTGCCCCCATCACTCCTGGACTGGGATCCTCGGTATCCCTGCTGAACCCCTCAAGCTAACCGAGGATGCCCATTCTCTCCTTAAACATTGTGCTAGCAATGTTGAGAAACTGTTACTAAATCGATGGATATTTAGGGGGCCCCCGCCCAATTTTAATAAAAGCACGCCAAAGAGCTGAATAACATGTCTAAGTAATTTGGACTTCTGACCTCAAGAAGTTTTGTTCACTATCTTCCAAGTCTTTAGTGGCACAAATTTCTGCCACTATATGGCCAGAAAGGGAAGATGGGAAAACTGTCTTTGATCCATAAAAGGGTTTTCCTGTTTCCTGGTGTAAGCTTTCCAGAAAATTTATATTCAGTATTTCAAATAAACCAAATGATGGTTTATCTGTATTTTTCTTCATTGTTCAAACAGTCACAGCATTAAAGTTGCTGAATAAATATGATTGCTGACCTTCTGGAGCAAATGCAGTGAATTATTTTGCTGTTATTGGTTATGCTGGGCCAGAAAAGAGCAGGCTTCTCCTCTCCCCAGACTTGCTAATGGGATGAAGAAAATGCTTTATCTTTTGGGCAAAATTCTTCCCACTGATTCTCCATAGCGCCATTCTGGAGAAGCCATTCTGCTGCTGGTCTGTAGGGTGACCATTTGGTCGAGCTGATGGCTCCTGCCCTGTGGGACTAAAGGCTGTTTACCCCAAGCAGCCCCTGCTTTCTCTAACCACTTCCTCCGTCTTCAGGAGAGAGCGATCCAAGGTGCCTTATATTGTGCGCCAGTGTGTGGAGGAGATTGAACGTCGGGGCATGGAAGAGGTGGGCATTTACCGGGTCTCTGGAGTTGCCACAGATATCCAGGCTCTGAAAGCTGCTTTTGATATTAGTGAGTATTTACTTGGGACGTTTCCTATTCTACTAAGAGGCAATAAGCTCAATGTTTTTTCAACGCAGCCCATTGCTACGGTCAGGCACCAAAATGTGGCCAGAGAGGAGACGGTCCATCTGTCCATCACACGTTGTTCTTTGCTGGTTTCTGGGAGATGTCATAATCTGAGATATTTTGCATATTGTTACTTCTGCTAGGCTGCTCAATCCATCCAATGGTGCTGCTGCTCAGTTTATTCCTTGTCACCATTTGTCACATCAGGCGTTGCCATTAAACCAGATGTGGAAGCCACGGGATGAAACAAATTATAATTTTGAAGCAATCATTATCTCTGGCAATCACCGTTTTCTTAATTATGGAGAAGTTGATTAGTTCTTAACAGCTGCACAAAAGAGAGAAGGGGGTGTAAATCCACAGAATATGTTCCTCACAGATTTGGAAAATTCCTGCAGTTATGACTGATGTGAGAGAACATTTTTGCCAGCTGGAGCATGCAATTATCCTGCCTAAGCAAAGGACTTTCTTTTCTTCTTGCAGATAACAAAGACGTCTCCATCATGATGAGCGAGATGGACGTGAACGCGATTGCGGGAACACTCAAGCTCTACTTTAGGGAGCTGCCAGAGCCTCTCTTCACAGATGAACTCTACCCTAACTTTGCTGAAGGCATTGGTATGTAGTGGCATTGTGCAGGTCCAAGGAGGAAGAACTGGGCAGCTGCTACTTTGTGGTCAGCTAGCAGTGGGAAGAGCTGGTATTACTGCTCTCAGGTTCAGCTTATGGTTACACATTCACAACCATGAAAAATTGCCACACTGAAATCACATACAACTGAACACTGAGGCAATGTGTTCTTTAGAATGTGGTTGCCAAACGGTGGCCCGCAAGAAAATTTTGGTGATCCGCAGAGAAATGTCACCCCCAGAGCACCCCCCCCAAAGCAATTAATCCAGGCTGCTCAGAACACAAGGCTGCACCACCCACATGGCCCATGGAAACCCTCCCCGCCCACTCAATCCTTACCTGGCAAACTTGCCTGCTAAGTTGCTATTTTTCTTTTTTATTTCCCGACCATCAGCTGTTCTGCTGTGCTGGGAGGTTTAGATTAGCTAGAAAGCAGGAAATGGTTGAATTTCTTGCTTTCTAACTAATCTTTAGATCTTAGAACCTTCCTTAGGACTGAAGCTTCTATTATTCAGTGCAGACTTAGGTAGCTGTTGGCAGAAAGATAGATCTCTGAGTAAATCTGTGATTTTGGGAGCGACTCAATTTGCCTGCCTGCTTTGCCTGATTTTGGGTAAAAGTTGCTCTTTTTAAATAAAAAATTCAATATTTATATACATGGTGTGTTGTAAGTTAATTTTATGCATTTGCTTGCAAGCAAATTTTATGTGACAGACCAATGGCAGAAATGCAGATCTCTGAATGAATCTGTGATTCTGTGAGCAACTCAATCTGCCTGCCTGCTTTGCCTGATTTTGGGTAAAAGTTGCTCTTTTTTTTATAAAAAAATCAACATTTACATAAATATTTATAATATTTACATATAAGCCATGCCCAGCCAATCACATGACCACCAAGCCACATCCACAAATTAGGCCAGGCCCATAAAACTGGTTTTTAAGAAATCTGAATTCATATTAGTGGTCCCCGTGATCATAAGTTTGGTGGTCCCTGAGGTCCAAAAGGTTGGCGATCCCTTCTTTAGAACACACATAAACCCATTTAAAATAACAGCAAACTTTTATTGATTATAGAGTATACCTGTTTGCTCTCTTTCTCTTTTCCAGACGTAGCCAATGTCCACCACTAGGCTGCCAGGCACTGGCCAGGGGGCTTGTATCTGGGATCTAAAAACGACTCACAAGGGCTGGGGAGGCTTCAAGGACCTCTATTATCCCTGAATGTCCTTGCCTTTTTTCTTTTTTTTCTTTTTTTTTTGGTGGGAAGGGTCTTGCCATGTGCTCAGACCAGGGGTGGGCAACTATGGCCCTTTTATGAATTATGGACTTCAACTCCCAGAATTGCTCAGGAATTCTGGGAGTTGAAGTCCATAATTCATAAAAGGGCCATAGTTGCCCACCCCTGGCTCAGACCCAACTTCTCTCCTTCTGTTCCCTTAACAGTTCCTCTCCCTGAGGGGCTGCTCACCCAACTCCCCCCACCTTTTAAAAAAATACTAGTTTGATAATCTCTGTGATTTACTGGCTTTCCCCCCTCTTGTTTACATGCCTTCACCACTTACAGGCTTCGTGGCTTCTGCGTAGTCTCACACTGGCAGAGGCTTCCTTAAGCAGCACCCTTTTCTGAATTTCTAAAATTAAGCTAAAATAATTAAGGAGAGAGCGATACCTCCTTAACTCTCATTTATTTTACCTCAGCTGACTACCCAGGTGAGGCAAGGTGAGCGTTAGCAGCTGTACCTGCCCTCGTAAACCTTGTAAAACCTTTTTCTCCTTCTTCCCTTCTAGTGCTCTCTGACCCGGTTGCAAAAGAAAGCTGTATGTTGAACTTGCTGCTCTCGCTTCCGGAGCCCAACCTGGTCACCTTCCTTTTCCTCCTGGATCATTTGAAAAGGTGAGGCCGAAGCTCCTTTCCTCCCAGCCTTCCCAGCCCATCGTTGTCAAGGACGTTCCAGAACACCAACGGCCAACGTGACCCGATTGTAAAAAGAAACCGCCGGGGGGGTCCTGGCGTGGCGTGGCGTGCAGGGTCTCTGGGCTGGAGCCTCTTCACCCCGCACCCTCCCGAGCCCTGCCTGGCCCTGCAGGAGAAGAGCAGCCGCCGATGAAGACTTTCACCCAAGCATCCTGGAGGCGCTTCAGGGCTGCTCAGCCAACTCCCCCCCCCCACCTTTTAAAAAAACGCTAGTTTGATCATCTCTGTGATTTTGGTCTTTCGTCTCAGGCTGCCAAATCGGACCAGCCTGAAAGAGGCTCTTCCCCTGCCCACCTCCCCCAGTCTCTGGCCTTTCCTCCCAGAGAGAAGCCTCGGCTTTCCCTGGGCAGCCATGGGGCATCGAAGACCATGCAGGTGGGAGGCAGGGCATCCTTGGCAAAGAAGCCTCTTCCTTCCCCCGACCCACCTCTCTTGCTGAGGGGGACAAGGAGAGCTCTAACCTTCCCTTTTGGGGAAGGGGACAGAGGAAGGAGTAGGGGGGCGATGGCTTCTCTGGGCTCCTGGGAGTTCAGACCTGGGCAGAGGCCCACCCTGGGGACTGTCCTGTGGCAGGCTTTGGATGGAGCTGGTACGGCCCTCTGCACCTTGGACCTTTTGGTGACACGTGTGACCATAGTCTCCCCCTGAACTGCTGCCAAGGTTGGCAACTGGGGGCAGCAGGATTCTTCAGTTCTATGCCTACCTCGGCAGGTGGGTCCAGAGGCAACACAGACTGGTGAAGGTTTATGTGATGTATCACCATCCTGGATGCAAAGTAGCTTTTATGCATTGGACGTTTGAATGCCAATGAATTCTTGTGATTCCTGGTAGTTGAAATGTGTTTGAATATTAGAAGCTCGGGTTGGTAGTTAGGCTGTTGGTTTAAAAATATAGAAATATCCAAACAAACAAACATTCAGGCTATTTTGCATCTCACAAAAAGGTATTTAAAGATCTGTGTTCGGACAGACGAGCACAACTCAAAACGCACTGACGATGTCTCCTCGAAAGGCGATGAAACATTTGTAACCGAATTGCCAAGTCGGAGCTCAAACCAACAGCCTATTTCTGGTAGTTTACAAGAAGAGGCAATAAAATGGTTGTACAGAAAGGGTTATTTCTTCCTTTGCCACGGGATTTTTTTAAAAAATCCACTCTTGGTTGTTTCTTTTCAAACTGGGGATTTACATAAATTCTCCTGATATTTTGGACATATTTGGATCAGTAACAGAACATGTGAGGTCAAATCTGTCCTTTCAAGACCACTGTTTTCCATTTGGTCCTGACCTATAAGTTAGGATAATGTTTCTTTTAAACTGCCTCGCCTAATTACCCCTTTTCCCAATTGTGAATCATATTTTCACCCTCACAAACAACCAGACTTTCTAATTTTATATCAGTGTCCAAAACTGGAGCAAGATTCACCAACAAGTCATTACAAATTGCTCCATTGCCCCCAGGATGTGCCCCCTTGGGGGGCCAGTACCCCTACTTTGAATACCCCTGTGTTGGATCATGACTTTCTTTTCTACTCCTATTGTTTCAGAGTTGCTGAAAAGGAAAACATCAACAAAATGTCACTTCACAACCTGGCCACCGTTTTTGGACCAACATTACTCAGACCGTCAGAAAAAGACAGCAAAATTCCTGCCAATCCAATGCATCCCATGGCCATGGCTGATAGCTGGTCACTCGAAGTCATGTCCCAGGTAAAAGCAAATGGGGAGCCCAAGTCAGTGTTTCTCAACCTTGACAGCTGGAAGATGCGTGGACTGCAGCTCCCAGAATTCCCCCCCAGGCAGCAGGTGGAATTGAAGTCCACACACCTTCAAGTTGCCACGATGGAGAAACACTGGCCTGACCTTTCATTTCCCTTTCATTGACCTTTCATTTCTGCTGGGGTCTTCTGATCAACAAAACTCAGGGTTTCACAGGGGCCCAGACTTCTCTTAGGACCCACTTAGATCAAAGGGAAAATGAGGGAATAGCCCATAACCCAGGGATGGCGAACCTATGGCACACCTGCCACAGGTGGCACGCAGAGCCATTTGTGCTGGCACGCGAGCTGCAGGCAAACTTACCTCACTGCGCATGCGTGCGCCTCACAGCTGATTTTCGGCTGGTTGACGCCTTTTTCGGCCTCCCAGAGGCTTGAAAGCCTCTGCGGCTTTGCAGGACGAAAAATAGGCCCGTTTTGTCACTTCCTGTAATACCAGGATTGCGGGGGAATGGGGGGGGCGCATTGCCTTCTGGGTGCTGGCACATGAGTGCGCGCACCAGTGCACACACAATTTCTGGCACAGGAGCCCAAAAAAGATTAGCCACCACTGCCATAACCCATAATGGGAGGAAAGGATTTAGATCAGGGGTGTCAAACTCGATCCCATTGCAGGCTGCATCAGAATTTTGTTTGCCCTTCGGGGACCGGGGTGGGCCTGGCCTGGTCATCGTGGCCAACTGGATGTGCAGGCCAGTTCCCTCGTTATCTCTGGGACGGCCCTGCAGGCCAACTCTGGGCCTATCACAGGCCGGATGTTTAACATGCCTGATGTAGGTCATCCCTTTCTAGCTGATGACCGTAACCCCCCTGGGGAGCAGGCAGAGTTAACCTTTCACATCAGGAGATCTCACTTGCACGGTGAGATCCATTTTGTATCCCACCCTTCGTACGAGGAGCTCAGAAAGAGGGAAAGCGGTTCAGGAGAAAAGGAAATGGCTTGTCCACAGCCATCTACCAATATAACTGGTTGATCAAGGAAGATGTGAATGTGGAAACCCTTCTGGCCTGATTTCCACCGAAGCAGCCCAAAAGATTTGATCAGTTTTATTCCTTTCTCAGACAAGTTCAGAAGAGGTTCCTTTCAGGAGATACTAACCAGGGAGGGAAACAACTGAAAAGTTCTGTAACTCAGGGGTCCCCAACCTGGGGGCCATGGCCGTGGGCATGAGGGGTTTTCAACAGGGCCATGGAAACGACTGGTGGGTGTGCGCACATGTACATCCTCCCTTACATGAGCAGTAGGCAAGCACATGCACACACACTATTCGCATGAGCGGCAGGCATGCATCCATGCCACTCGTGGAAATGGAGCTGCACGTGTGCCCACTTTCCAGTTGCTTGTTGCAAACCTTTCCACCCCAGCCAGTCTGCAAAACCAGAAACATTGAGAAACTCCGTTGTAAATAACCAAAAGGGGGGGGAGGGGGAGAAGAATATTGAAACCAGAGAAAGTAAGTTCTGGGAGCAAAGAAATGTTCAAGGTTGACCCACCCCTGCCATCCTTCCAAGGTGGGTCAAATGAGGACCCAGATTGTTGGGGAAAAGAGGCTGGCTCTGTAAACTGCTCAGAGAGGGCTGGAAAGCCCTGTGAAGCGGTGTATAAGTCTAAGGGCTATGGCTATGTGGGTGCTAGGCATCCAGCGTGTATTTACAATGATTGTAGCTTCCTAGGGTCGTTGTGATCTTTTGCAACTTGCCCAACCAGCGTCAATCAGAGAAGCAAAGAATAACAGAATAACAATTGGAAGGGACCTTGGAGGTCATCTAGTCCAACCCCCTGCCCAAGCAGGAGATGCTATACCATTCTGGACAAAGGCCTGTCCAGTCTCTCCTTGAAAACCTCCAGGGAGGGAATACCCACCACCTCCAGAGTCGGTCAGGCTGTCCCACTGATCGATCACTTTCCCTCCCAGGCAATTAATTCCTCCTTAGTTTGAGGTGGTTTCTCTCCTTGAGAAAGTCGGTGCTGGGTTCACTTAACCCCCCCGGCATGATTCGTTTTTAACATGCGGGGTGATGGCTTACTGACTGCAGAAAAAAATAAAAGTTGCAAAATCAGGTGTGAGTCACTTACCTGCCTTGCTGAGCCACAGAAATCCCGGTCCCAATTGTGGTTGTAAATTGAGGACAACACATGTGCAGGAAAGTCGGTTAAATCATCCTTGCAAGTTGTTGTCCAGTCTTTCAAATGCCTGCAGAGTTGGAGAACCACCCGGGCTCTCCTAACCACGCCCGCCATTGCTCCCCCTCCCCAATTGATCTGTTCCCCTCCCCTCTCTTGTCTGCGTTCCAGGTTCAGGTTCTCCTTTATTTCCTGCAACTGGAGACAATTCCCACCCCAGACAGCAAGAGGCAGAGCATCCTTTTCTCCACCGAGGTGTAGAAGCCAAAGGCTCCGTCCATCCGTCCCTCCCTCCCTCTGACCTTCCACCCTTCCCTTGTCCTTCGGGAGGAGAGAGAGCCCTCCCTCCTCCCTCCCTCTGTGGACCAAGAAGCCAGAGGAAGACGGTTGTCTTCAGGGGAAGATGATTCCTTTCACCAGATCAGGAAAAGAACCGGGAGGAGCAACAGAGGAAAGCAAACAGTCTGAGGAAGGAAGGTATTCCCGGGAGGATCTTTGCAGTGGAATTCATGTTGCGTTTTGGGAGAGTTTTTCCTTCTCGGGGGCTTTCGAAGAGCTGAAGGATTCTCCTTCGATGGCCACCGTCGTTAATGGAGTGCCACAAGGATGTTCATCCATCATGGCCACTACTTGCAAATTTAGACCTTGATTTAAATGTTTCTTTTTAATAAGTAAATAAATTAGGAGCTTCATGCACAATCAGGATTTTTTTTGAAGAAGAAGAAATCTTTTCCTTGCCTTTTATCTTTTGACTCTCTTTGGGCAGAAGGTTTTACCGAAGAGGCATCCTCTAATCACTTAGAAGAGAATAAAAGGCCGGGGACTAGAGGAAGAGGTGGTAAGACTGGACAGCTCTTAAGGCCTCCTCCTTTTTCCGTGGGCCACCAAGGATGGGAGGTGTGTGGAGAAGCTGCTGAGGTCTTCGGGCATCGTAAAGAAGATAATCTGCAAAATCTCCCCTTTCGCCAGTGAAGGCCTCGTGCCCAGTTTTAACCCGACTGCAGCAGCAGCAGCAGCGTAAGGACTTCAGCTGATGGTGGGTTTCTCAGCGGTTGGGCCAAAGCCGGCCTCTCCCCTCCCGGCAGCTAAACAGTCCTCAGATCCGCTGGCGGGAATTGGGAGGGCAGGATTGGGCCTCTCTGCTCTTTCTTGGTTTGGGACTTTGGAAAGACTTTGCTTAAATGGAAAATATTTTTTTCACTGCCACCCTGTTTTTGCTGGGAAAGAGAGATGTTTTGATAAGATGTTTTAATAACTTGTACAATGATGATTGAGGGAGCATTTTATATTTTTCAGAAATTCCAACCATTTGTTTTAAGATTGAACAGGCATCATTCGTGAATTGTAATGCTGGGGGGTGGGGGTGGGGAATCAACACTGGCAGAAGCAGCCCAGAATCCTCACACAGGAAGGGATCTCTCTTGGGAGTTTCACATGGACAGAAACCACATCTTTATCAGTCCCATGCAGTCATAAGCATAAGTTTTGTCTTGTTAATTCAAAGCTACTTTTACCGAGGTGTTCAGAAGTGGCTAATTGGGTGAGAGACCAGGAAGCTAAACTGACATTCTGGTTTTGCTCGGAGAGGTTATGAAGAGGTTATGAGGCGTTTCCCCCCACAATTTCCCATACTTTGGGCAAGTAACGGAATTCTGCTTGTTAAAAGGGGGCTAAAGTCACTACTGAAGCATAAGGCTCTGCTCTGATCTTTGGAGTTGTACAATTCAGCTCTTTTAACACTGGGAAAGAACCCATCACGGGAGTGGCTGGATTGTGGTGTCTGACTATCTCAGCATCTTCTCATACCAGGGAATATTTAAATAGGAATCCCACATTGTTTTTTTCCTCCCAGAAGTCTAGAAGTTAGAACTCTGTTCGGCTGTCCTAGTTTGGATGGTGATGTACCTCAGTTGATGAAGATGAGATACGAAACCCTTTTGCTGATGTGCCCATATATTTGTTCCTCAGTCCTCCTTTTGTTAAAACTGGATTCCCCCCCCCCCCAACTTTCTATCCTGGAAAGGGGCTTTCAGACAAACTGATAAGAGGATCAAGCTTTCCATGGCAGTGAACCTGCCTTTGTGTCAGTTGAAGGAGAAGGTTCATCCACGGAAGGTCCCTTCTGAAGTGCACCTCAGTGAATTAAGGGTTCTGAATAGGGGAATCATGTAAGATTTTTAAAAAATCAAAGCTGAATGTGATCGTATTTTTTATTGTTATTTGAGGCAACAAATACTCAATAACCCTATAAATGAACGTCTAGATCAGGGGTGTCAAACTCGTGGCACTATGTTGTCATTATGTGACATATTGCAACTTTTCCCCTTTCGCTAAAACGGGGGTGGGCGTGGCCAGTGTATGACGCATCCAGCTCACAGGCCGCAAATTTGACACCCCTGGTCTAGACGGAAGCTTTCTCATTCCATCAGCCAGTCATATGTTTATTCTTCTAAGGTAACTGTTGTAGGTTACTCCGTTATGAAGAGACCGGAGAAAAGGCAGCCAGGTTGTGACGACAGAAAGTATTTAGATACCAGGTTTGTTCATCGGAACGGAACAACTCCCGGTTGTCATCTTGGAGAGAAAAGGAGGATGACTTGTTATCGCGTTGAAATGATTCATGTTGGCCCAGGAGTCTCCTTCATGGGCCTTGCTCAAGGTGAGGCATCAAGATATTCACCCACCGAATAAGGAGGAGTCCTCTCCCCAAATTCCCTAGCATGCCAGCGAAGTATTTGGACTACAATGGAAGGAACTTACACCTTTCCCTCTTCTCTGAGTCCTCAAACAAGTATTGTAGGCTCTCCAAGTCATCCTTATAGGTCCAGTAGTCTCGTATGAACAGCTGGCCCAACGGGGTGGTAGAGATTGGGAGTGTTAATAAAGCTAATTTGAGTCACTAAAAGTCATTACAGGTTTAAGGAAAGCCACAGTGTTGTTTTGTGAACTTGAGGCATGTCTTGAAAATTAAAGTTTAAAGGGCTTTTATTTATTTATTTTATTGATTCCTTTAAGCAGCACGATTGCTGAATGGCTGCAGTTTCCTCCTTGCATTGTTATTCCATAATATCCAGAGCTGCAGGAATTGGCAAAGCCATCCCACCGAGGGAAATGGGCCAATCTGTTCCGCTTGACTGCTCTTTCTGGCATTTTTGATTTATATATAGTTATTCTGTCCGTATTGCGTTAATGAACCTAGATAAAAAAGAGAAGACAGTGTGTGTGTGTGTTGGAGAGCTGCGAGAGGATTGCTTTGATATCCAGGCAAATTTTACATGCAGGCATGTAGGTATGGAAGAGGTTGTATAATTTAAGCATTCATTTCAGTTTTAATTATAAACCTATGCTTTTCTGAAAAGTCATACTGGTGTGCTTCAGAAACGAATGCCTCAAATGGAACCGAGCCCAGGGGCTCAATTTCTGTCCAAGAAGTAGCAACATCAAATCCCTCAAGTTCTTCCAATCCCTTCTATTTTTCTAGGTCCTTAGTTTTGTGAAGTGGCTCCAAGAATTATTTTCCTTGACTCTGCTTTACTTTAAAACAGCCAGTGGCTGTATTTGTACAAAACACTGAATTGCAAAGTAGCCGACTGTGTTTTAATCTTACATGAATGAACCACACACAACCTCTGGCTGTTGCTGAATGACTTCCTGCTGGAGATCCAGACCCCAACATCTGGAAGATCTTGCAGGTGATGCAATTTTGTGCCAATCCAGCCCATGGGATTAGTTTGTGGTTCGGTGTGTTATGTAAACCTAGGAAACTGGTTTGAATAAACCGTGATTAAATTAATGGGTAAATGTGTTATCCACAGACGGCCAATTACAAAACCCTTCCCCTCCCACGTCTTTTAACAATGAAATGATAAGGAAGTCAAGAGCCAATTTTACACCACTTTGATTGTCCTTTCCCATAAGTTTTGTCCCTCGGCAATTCTCCCCTCATTCTGTTCGTGCAAATCTTTGGGTATTTGGATTCCACTCCACTGGTCAAGGGTCTACCTGTATTTTTGAAGGTCACAGTTGTCAGGCAGAAGCTTTTTTTCCACACCAGGAGCTTCACCTGCACCCTATAGGAATGGACTACAATTGGCCAGACAAACTGGGAGAAGAAAACCTGCCCCATTGCCTTCCCAAAGCCAGCTCATAAGTCATCACATGAAAGCTTAGCCACCATTCAATGTCTATCAGATAAGCCCTATTCACTAGTTTCAATGTATTGTTCATTTATTCATTTATGGCATATCATACATGGACTAGCAATATGTGTGTGTGTAAATATGTGTGTGCATACACACACACATATACATACACACACAAACACACGCACACACACACACTTCACCTAGATCAGTAGAACGCAATAAAATATGAATGTTAAAAAGATCTGTTTGTTCAAATACCTAGATGTCTAGGCCACCTAACCACTTGAAGTACAACATCATTTCTATTTTTAAAAAGCCAGCTACTGGACCACTATAGGCCCTCAGCTTAGAGCTGGCCGACTATGTTTGATTTGGGAGCCTGAGGGAGGATGCTACGAGTCACACCAGACAAGGCGTGAATCCTATTCAGGATTGTCCATTGCTGACTTAGTTCAAAGCCTGGTGCCCTTTTTGTGGGGTCATTTATAGTTTCAATATAGATTATTGTTCATGCATAAAAGGAGACAAAAGATATGGTGTTGCTTTGGGTACATAACAGCCGCCTCGAGTCACCGAGATTCCACTAGTCCACTCATAAGATTCATTCTCTGGCACAGACAACATGTTAAGGTTTATTTTGATTGGCAGATGGGTTTTGCACATAATGTTACGTGTTTGTGTCTGGAAAATAGTCCAGCAGGGAGGGACTTCATGAGGTCAGTTGATGGCTAATGTTACCCTTTTGGTCATGTCCAACTCTTGTTGATTCTATGGGCCTGCTCTTTCCACGTCTTCTGATCTTACACGACTTATTTGAATTGTTTGCTGCTCTGGCTGGTGTCAGTTTCGATGGTGTCCAGCCATCGTGTTCTTTGCTGGCCTGGTTTCCTTTTACCGCTAACTCTTCCAAACATAATTGGTTCCCCCGCATGACATAGCCAAAATGAGACAGAATTTGGTGGTGGTGGTGGGGGTTTGAAACAGTTACACGGACCGTAACCATCTATGGCTGGTGCACGATCTTACCCCTGAATCCAGCCCATCTAGTTAGCTAAGGTAAACCTGGAAGACTCTCAATGGTGTAAGTCCCAATACCAATGTGTCTTGTAAGCACAGCTTTTAGAGGAAGTTGGACGCCTTCCGACTGAATTTTCTAGAGGAATTTGATCCCCAAGGCAGCATTAACGGGATCCTAAAAGGCACTAAATCAAAGGTGTCAAACTCGATTTCATTGAGGGCCACATTAGGGTTTTGTTTGACCTGGGGGGGGCTTAGCCAAGGTGGGCATGGCCAGCTCAACATCATTCCTGTTGGGGGCCCAAGTGCTCTGCCAGCAGAAAGGCCCCTCCCCTAACTGACCAGCCCTGCCTTTTTAGCCTCAAAGGAGAAAAAAGGGGCTTGCCAGCAATTCCTCTTTGACCCCCAGGTAGCTTCCTCAAAATGGATCTAGGAAACAATGAAAAATTCATGGTTTACTAATCCAGCCTGGTTAATTCTTGCATTTCACTGGTCTAAAACTTTTAACCCAATACAGCTTGAACGTTTTTTGAACAACCTGGAAAAATGGACGGTGTCTTGCATAAACTCTGAAACTCATAAACTCTGAGAAACACTGGCCCAGAGTGAAGCAGGGCACTCTGGAGTGGACATTCCAAAACACTCTGTGTGCGTGTGTGTTTTACACTAGAAGACACCCTACTCCTGTTGGGAAGTCTTCCTCTCAAGTGGCTTTGCCCGAGGCCTAAGACAGAAGCTGATGGTGTACTACAAAGGGTGGCATGTAGGCACCCTACGAAGGTCTCCCAGGGAGTAACAAGACCCCCCTCCTCCTCTCCAGGGAAGGCTTCACTTGAGTCTCTCGCTAGTCTGTTTGATGCTCAAAGAAGCTTTGCACTCCTGGTGGGATTGTTGAGAAGAGACCAAGAGGCAGCTTCCAATTGTTCTGATTAAGACACCGGTTGGATTATATTCTATTGCTTGGGTTTGCATTAAATTGAATTTCAATATGAACTCTTGCCCAACATTCCAGCAACTTCAACTTCCTCCATCACTTCTTCTCTATTAGTAAGATTAAGGTCCAGTATAGCTTTTCCTCTAGTTCCTTCCTCAACTTTTTGGATGACAAAGGTTGGGGAGGGAACAAGAGGAAAAACTATGGCCCTAACAGTGGCCCAGATAGGAGGATGCTGTGAATCGTAGGTGCCGTTCGTAATCTCTTGGAGGTGAGGATGGGGCATTGATCCCCAGCATTCGCAAACAGCTGGCATTTGTCTGCCAAGGATGCTTCTGAGGATCCCTACCTGACACCCTCCTGCCAGGGAGGCCAGGAAGCCGGCTGCCAAGGTGGTCCTTAAAGGCAGGCGCCTGATTCTAGCAAAATGGGTCTGAGGTGAGGCACCAGCCATGTGTGCTGATGATACCTGCCCTGAAGCACCTCCTGGCCCCTAATGTGTGTTTTCCTTGGCTTGGGCAGCTCCTGTAGGAAAAGACGGTGAGGTGCTGACAGGTGTGCATGTTCATATTCCATCCACCTGGAAGCATCACAGCCTCTCAGGAAGCTCCCTCACAAAACCCATGGAGGGCTTGCAACACCAGGATGTGCGGCTTTCCTATCACAACCTGGTAATAAGATAGCAAAGCCGTTCATACCTGGGTCACCACCTGGGGGCAGTTTCACCTTTCCTCCTTTGAATCGGGTTGTTACTCAAAGTGGCATTTCCTGCTTTCATCTCGTTGACCCTGAAAATCCCGCTGGCTTCCAGCGGGGAGTCGCTGCCTGGGCTTCCCTTGGACCCGTGTCAACAGGGAGATCAAAGGCAACGTCACGCTTTTTCTCAGATTCCACGCGATCCCTGGAAGCGCCTGCGCTCGCCGGAGCCCTGCAGGGCGGCCAGTGGAGAGAGGGAGGAGAGAGGGAGGGAAATAGGAAAAGGAAGGAAGTGGGAATGGTGGGAAGGAAGGAAGGAAAAGGAAGAAAAGAAGAGGAGTGGAAGAAAAAGGGAAGAAGGAAAAGGAGGGAGGGAGGGAGGAAAAGAGAAAAGGAGAAAGGAAAAGAGGGAGGGAGAGGAAGAAACGAAACGAGAGGGGGGAAAAGAAAGGAAAAGAGGGAGGGAGGGAGGGAGGGAGGGAATAGCACTGCACAGCCGGCGAAGAGCAGCAGCAGCAGCTGACTGGCGCCGCCCCTCCCTTTGCGCGTGCGCCCTCTCCTCGCCAGGCTTGGGGGCGAGGCGCGCTGTCGCGACCGCGTCGGCGCCTGCGCAGTAGCGCCCAACGCGCTGAGGGACCGGAGGAGGAGCGCCGCGCCCGCCCGGTCTCCCTCCGCGGAAGGAGGCAGCAGCGCTTCAGGTAAGGCCGGGGCGGCGGCCCATCCCCAGGAGATCCGCCGCGCCGCTCGCCCTCTGGCACGCTCGGCCTTTGGGGCCCGGAGAGCTCGGCGCGCGGGGTAAGTGGGCCCGGGCGGACGCGGCCCTGGCGGCGTTGGCCGTTTGGCCGCAGAGGGGCTGCTTCCCGGGCGGGGGAGGCGCGCCTGTGGGGCCCGGAGGGAGGGGAGGCCTTGAAGGCTCCCGCCGAGGGAAGGGCAGTTGGGGGCGGGGGTGCTTCCCCACCTGGGTCTCTGAGGTCTCCACCATGGCCACTTTCAACCTGGCGGACTTCAACTCCCAGAATTCCCCAGCCAGTTTGGCTGGGCAATGCCGGAGCTTTGCTGGCTGGGGGATTCTGGGAGTTGAAGTCCGCCAGGCTTAAAGGGGCCACGGTTGGGGACCCCTGCCCTAAGGTGTGTGTCCCGCAACTCCCAGAATTCCCCAGCCTGCGTCGCTTGGGATCCTGGGAGTTGCAGTCCGCCCGTCTCGGAAGTGGCCCAGGTTGGGCAGCCCAGCTGAGCTCTGAGCAGGAGAGGCAGGCAGGTTGCTCATCAATCTCCGGTGATGAATTGAGTCTGATAAACAGCCTGGAGCTCTTGGGGTGGGTGGGTGTGGATTTGTCCACCCTGCCTGTGCTCAGCTCTACGTCAATGCCGACCCTTATGCAAGCCGTAAGCAACGGAATTTCATTTTAATGGATACCCAATTAAAGTTAGTCTGAGTCTAGCCTTTTAAGGTTGGGGAGGGGGGACATAGGTTGATGCAGTTTTGGGCTAGATGCTTTAATAGAGGAAATGCTTGGTAGAGGGAACAGTGACTGTGACCTGAATGTTTTAGAATAGTATATTTGTGCTTTATGTCTTTTCCCTCTTGTGTTATTGTGTTATTGACTGTCCTTTACTCTCATGACTGTGTCCCTTTGGCTTGGCCTGTTCCTCTTTGGTTGAACCCTCTCATGGGCAATTAATCAGTAAAAGTCCCAGATTCCTGGAGTGTGATGGGGATGCTGCTCCATGACAAACTCATTAATCATTTAAGGAAGAGAATTGGGACTTGACATAGTTTAAGTCACTAGAGATCTTTGTACCCGTAATTCAAACAGAGAGTCTGAATTGTGCTGGGCATCTGGAGCCTAGTGTATGAGATTTGGGTACTGTAATGAGATTAAAGCAGCAGGACTAATTGGGTTAGAACAGATGCAGTCTGTGGCAGATCTGCCTCTTAAGTAAAGGTCAGAACGAAATCTGAAATCCCTGTAAAATACAGGATGAAACCAGTATTCAGGTGGAAGCCAATGACTTCAAGTTGTTTGCTGGCCTCTTAAAAAAGAGATATGCTAAAGCTGTTGCTCAAACCTTTGATTTAAATGAGATTGAGCAAATTAACATAATTCTTAGCAAGAACTGGGTTTATTCAGAATATGGCATGCTTGTGTCTGTCCAGCTAAATATGCCTTATTGCAAGCAGGACCACAACAAAATGTTGCAGCTTATTCCTTCCCAAACTACAACTAAGCTAGTATTGCAACCTCTTTCTCCTTCCCTACTTTCTGTAGTAGTCGTGCATGCCTGGTCTTCATTGAGTTGTCTGTGACAGCCCACTTCTCTTCTTCCCCACCCCCTTTTTTGTAAAATAAAATAAATTTTATTTCTTGCAAGTCCCCTGTGTGTGAGTGGTGCTCTTTGGAGTATATAAAGATTGACATAGTGCACAGTTTACTGTTAGGGAGTAAGTGTAACTGGTTTTGAGTGTATTCTTAGATTTAAAATAATCTTGTAGTGGAAAAGTTAACACTGTTCTGAGCTTGGAATGAAGCACCTTTCATTCCAGAGCTTTGTTCCAAGCTCTGGACAAAATTCAGTGTGCTCCTTCCATGTTGTTCCAAGTATTCTGATATCCTGAAATTAAAATTCCAGTAAGCCATGCAGAATTTGTGGATACATTTATCATTAGAATAGTAGGCATGGGCATGGTAATTGGTTGGAGCTATTTGAGAAGGAATGGATGGGGGAGTAATTTGAATATTGTTTATTATCACTTATTTAAATGTGTTATAGCCCGGCTATTCCAGAAAATTTTGGATAGTTTACAAAAGAGGGGAACTGGAGCATATCAACAAATTGTAGATATGTGGTCCCTTGTATAAGTACATTCTATGCATTGAAGAGCTTTATATACCATGAAGAGCTTTGTAGGTGACAGCATCACCCAGAAACCAACTGTCAATCAATACACCTTGTGTAGCATCAGTGACACATGGGCTTACCTAGCCTAAAATTCTTGCCACTGCTGGTGCTACTGCATTTTGAAACAACTGTTTGGTCTTCAAAGGCAGCCTTCAAGTGTAGAGTGCATTATACAGTAGTCGTCCAATTACAAGGTGATCAGGGCATGAGTGACATTTCTGAAGGGTCTCCCAGTCAAGGAAGGAACACACTGGATGAACCCCCTAAATCGCAAATTGTCCCCATCCAAGATTAACAATGAAACCTCATTGACCCAGGGGGCCAAAAGCTGCATCCATTCAGTCTTGTCAAACCATTCAGGATTGACCCAAAGTCTGTTCCATTCCATCAAACCTGAACAGTTTCCAGACACTGGATTGATACTTTGACAACTTCACTCTACATGGGGCTGCCCTTGAAGACCCACCAGTTGATTCAAAATGCAGTCATACCCGCAGTAGCAAGCATCCTTTGCTGCATGTGCCTATGGGTTAGATATAAGCAACCTTGTACTGATGATACCAAACCGATGGATGGCTTGACCGGTGGTTTCGTGTAAAGGTTAAGCAGGAGAAGGGAGAGTGTCAAGCTTTGAGTCATCCCACAAGTGGGTGGTCACAGGCATGATCCCTTCTTCCCTCCCTTAGCATAGTTGGGGGTGATCATTGAAGAACCAGCGTAGCATGGTGCCTCTAGCTTATGCAGAAGAAATACCCATGGTCGCTGATGCTGCTGAGAAGTCAAGGAGCACAAGGATGGATGGATGCATCACCCCCACCTTTGCTCCACCAAGATGGACAAGCAGAATACTTGGTTAATAAAGTCAGAGTGGGACATCATGTGACCATGCCACTTAGTGAGAGCAATTCCAGCAGTCCCAGTTGCCATTGTTAAGAGGGGACCACACAGGTCATTCAGCAAGAACCTCGCATGGCTAGGACTTCCGACTTCCTCTTGACCTCCCCATTGACTTCACTTGTAGGAAGCTGCCAAAGGAGGCCACAAATTGTGGTCACGTGACCATGGGGATGCTGTGATGGCTGGAAGGCTGAGGACCTGTTGTATCTACTGCTCATTCAGCACCCTCATAAGTATGAACAGTCGCTGAACAAATAGATGTTAACTGAGAAACCCCTCAGTTACTATGCGTGCCATCCAGTCAAAGAGCAAACGATGTACAGGGTGATACATAATTCATATGATTAAAAGATCGTTGTGAGGGTAACCAAAACTGAGTTGCAGCTTGATGGTCCCCAGAGTACCATTGGTTTACATTTTACAAGGTTTACTAGAATTAATCTCATAGAACGGCTGTTGCCAGGAAAGAGATGCTTAACAAGAAGCAGATTGAGCTTTGCATTATCACAACATCTTATCTCTCAAAAGAGCATGATAAGGTGTGGCTCTGAATAAGAGTTTGTGTATTTAAACGAATATTTATGGGTAAGCGTAGTAAGTGTACGGAAGCATTTTTCCTTGGCCTGAAAGCTATCTCCAAGCCATTTTTATATACTTGTGAGTGCAGAGAAGAGCATGGTCAGCCAAGGTTCTGGTTTGGGGCCATTTTATTAGAAAAGAACACGGCAGATCCTGGGCAAATTCATCTCCAAGGAAGATTGAGCCTTCGTAGGTGGAGTAAGGGTTGGCATCAGGCCCATGAAGTTTATGTTCCTTCTTTTTCTACCATGCATGGGTTCTGTTCCTTCCGCATTGTAAAACTGGCCATCCTAGAGCTTAGTCCTGACCAAAACATGATTGCAGGTCAAAGCTTGGAGGTAATTTGAAGAGTCAGGAGGTAATTTGAAGAGTCACTCTCTATTGCAAAAGTGGCTCTATAGAAACAGCAGGTCTGTGGTCCTCTCCCCCCCCCCCCCACAAAAAAAACCATTACAAAATTAGCCTGAACACGAACAGGTGCTCATAGCACCTTAATATTTCTCTCAGCAACCCTACTGAGACTTCTCCGTAGGGTTACTCAGAGAAATATTTGTCTAGTCTAGGGAGAAACAATGTTCCAACTAACCCTTGAGGTTCTAACTCAGGAAGGAAACTTTTCCAGTAGGTCGGAAATGCAGCAAAGACCCCCAGGGCAGATTCTGCAGAATAGATGTTAGAGAGCTCCAACCTCGCTCACATTCTGTAACAGGAAGGCAGCCTTCCATATAAGCTGAAACTGCTCAGCGGTTAGTGGAAGGAATTGTAATAATCTGGCAGGAGGTTTGAGTCACTGCAGCCAAATTAGCAACTGTCAAAACAACTTTAAAGTTAACATTCTGTCACACAGTGCCACAAATTACAAGACTAAATAATTTATTACAGCAAAAATCTTGTGGGATTAATAACAGTATACAGAAAAGTATGTAGGGTATTTTAATTATGTCAATTATACTGATGCAGCTTTTGCCCCAACAAGCTTGTTTGAAAACTAATTATCTTTGTTCTATTTATATTTCATTTCTACATGAAAAAGTTGCTTCTCATTTTTCCTTGAAAAATGAATATGAAATTGCAAATACAGGGAAATGAGAGAAACTTTGGTGCCTTGGCCTAGTCCATAAACTGTAGGTTCAAAAAAAGTTCTACAGATTTCAGAAAGGAAGTGTTAAAGCCAATGTAACTTGTACTAATTTTCTGATTACTAAATCTTCTCATTTATGTTTTCAATTAAGGGCCTCAATGCTACTGCTCCAAATTTATAAACATTTTTGGAGAGATGAGAATCAGAGTGAAGAATGAATAAAGATTTCAGATCTGTTGGCCAACAATTGCTTAGCATCAAAGTAACAAATTGTAGGGCAAAAGCTCTGCTGAATTTGGGAAAAGCAGAAAGAAGAAACAATGGGTTTATATTGCTATGGGTATAAGAGGAAACACTTCCATCACACTTACAGAATGCAAACCATTTTTAGTGCAATTTCAGTCTGCATGCAGTAAAGATACTTAATGAAGTCAAATGATGTCAGTGTTTGAAAGGCTTCTGCTGGGTTTGGGCTGAGCTGAGCAGGGTCCAGGGAGACCGAAGGTAGGATTTATGGTCTGGGCAAAAAGTACAAGGCATGGAGGGGCTATTTTCAGGTATGTGAATAGTTACTATATAAACAACAGTACCCTCACTTTTTGAAAATCTGTTTTTTCTCTGCAGATTGTTAGTAAATGTATATCAAGCAGGCAGCCAAGAATGAAGAAAGCAAGCCGGAATGTTAGTTCGGTGCCCAAAGTGCCTGGTATAACTAAGATGCAAACAGTAGAGAAAGCTAAAACAGAGACCAGTTCCACAACGTCTGCAGTAACGAAACTTCCAAAAGCAGGAACAGCAGCCTCCTTCCTGAAGGTATCGGCACAGTAGATCTTTTGAAATACAAGGGGAGTGGGGGGTATCAGCAGAGGGCCCTGGCGTGAGCAGCAGAGAAAATGCTGCAAATATCTGTGCATATTGACAGCTTCTTTATTGTTGCCTCCTGTACGTGGCGCTATATGTTCTCTACAGATAACAAGTTTCCTAGCTGCAGAGAAATACAGACACAGAGGAAGCAGAACCTGCACAGTTTATGAAGTCTTGCAGATAGAAATGATTTTGCCCTCTTTGGTGATGCTATTGCAAATTTGTGTTGGATCCAATTAATATTTCTAGATTTTCACCCTGTTCACATAACACACTTATTTGAGTCTGGCACTTTTCTTAGCTATAGCAGCTAGTCCTGAAGTTCCAACCAGTCATTCAGCAACTGTTCAGAGTTATGATGGCATTCAATAAGTGGCTTTTACAATTGGCCCTTTAGGTTCTGGCTGTGGCAGCACTCCTGGGGCGGGGGAAGGGCCATCTGGGTACTTAGCAACCAGCTTGCACCTGCAATGGTTGCAGCATCCCAGGGTCACATGCAGTCATCACAAATTGCAACTTTTCCTGATGCTTTTTGCAAGCAACGCCAGTGAGGAACCAGCAGGGAGGATCGCAAGTCATTTCCTCTGCTTTGTCTTCCGAGGAGCCCCAGTGCATAGCAGGTAGTGCCTGGAGCCACTCGTGACCCACACCCACATTCCCATTTGCAGCATCCCCCCCGTACAGCAATCGTGCACCCCACTGTGCTCCTGATGTGAGGGTTATAAAAAGATTAAAAACGTAGCAGTTAAAACTAATAGCCCATGATGGCCAATAGTGCAGTGCAACCATAAAATCACATCAACAAGGTAACTCTAAACTCCTGACCCAAATGCCTGGGAAACAAGCCAGATTCTCAGTGCCTTGCAAAAGGCTGAGTCGGGGCTACCTGTATCTGTAGGGGATGCTGTTCCCTAAGGCAGGTGCTGCCACAGAGAAAACTTGATTTCTCTGTCCGACAAGATGGCGTATTTCAAGTGGAGGGGACCTGAACTACGCCCCACTGCTTGCCCCATTCAACGCCACAACTGGTGGGACAAGCAGAAATCGCGGGAGAAAGACAGTCCGACTTTAGAAAGGAAATAATGGTCTTGGCAGAGAGTGACGTTCTGTTACCAAGGCAATAAACAGATAAACAGATAAACATAAAGTTCCTACCAAGGTAGAGATTTATGAATGCAGCCTTCTATTCCCAATTCATATGATGGTAGAAGGGAGGAGGGGAAGTATATTCAGACTTGCAAGATTTTGTGACTGCAGATTTTTGAATAAAAGTGGTTAGGGTTGGGCTTGTCTGATTCCTGATCCAGTCTACGTTGTAGGGCCGATACATCTGCAAATAGTCTGACTCTAGGCCACTTGGATGACACCTGGAAGCTTCCGGGAGCCAGCGCAGCTTGCAGAATAGGGGTGTTAGATGGGTCTAGCAAGAGGTACGGAAAACTACCTGCGCTGCTGCATTCCGGACCAGTAGCAGCTTCCAAATGATCTTCAAGGGCAGCCCCATGTTGAGGTCATTGCAGTAATCCAATTGGGAGGCGACTGTGGCATGAGCTTCATGGGCCAGAAAGTGGCACATTCGGTGCACCAGCCAAGCTGTGCAAAGGCACCTCCAGCCACGGCTGCCCCTCGCAGGAACCAGGAGGACCTTCAGGTTGCACACAGATTCTGACTGGGGAAATGTACCCCCAGGCAGAGCCAGAGGTGGGAAATCTCCCACGTGGGGGGGGGGGGAGGAGGGAGACTTCAAACCACCGCTCTGCTGGCCAGAGTGGAGCCAAAGCTAATTTCATATCCCTCCCCTCACAGCCTGGGCCTTGGCAATGTTGCTTGGTCAGCCAGGAAAGGTACAACCGGGTATCAAATAGGATGTCAGGGTTCCAAATAACATTCCCATAGCAAACAGAACTCTGGGGCAGGTGGATTCCTCAAAGAATGATTTTATTAGATATGTCATATTGGCGTAGGCTGGTGAAATCCGGCTCTGACTATTCCTAATTAAAAGTAAAAGTTTTTCACTTTCTCAAACAGTCACATGGTCCAATCAGGATACTGTCCCGTTGCTAGGTGACTCCAGTCCCCTCCTTCCAAGCACCTGCAAGAATGTCCTTGGTTCCCGAGAGGAAGTATTTCGTTTTGACTACAACACCCCAACTATCTCTTATTCCCCCCTCCCTGTCCCTTTTCTCCAGGGTGTCAGCGCTGAAGTCTCAAAATGACCTCAGTCAGGCCAGCTTCTGGGTTGACATAGGAATGGTAATAGCAGAATTGGAAGGGACCTTAGAGGTCTTCCAGTCCAACCCCGTTCAAAAAGGAAACCATATCTCATTTCAAAGTAAATGTGGTGAGGAAGTAGTGCCCCAAAACACCCCACACACATGGGCTTCAAGCGTGACCCCTCCTTGCCACCAGCACTGACTGGAACCAACCCTGAAGAAAGTAGATGAGGTGGGTACAGGGCCTCCCACTCTGGATCTCCTAAGGAAGGCTGGACAGATGCCACAATCAGTGATACTGAATGAGATCAAGGAGGACCAGGGTGGATGCCCTGTCTCTCTCCTGAGCCTGCCCGAGGTTACCCACTGCAACCAGTGCCGTTCCAGTATTGTCACGGCTGGTTCCTGACTGAAAAGAATCCATATAACCTCTCGCTCTCAGGGACCTTTGGAGCTGTCAACCAACCACCTTCTCTAAAAAGGGAAGGTTGAAGAGGGTACAAAAAGGTTCAGCACTGGGCTTCAAGGCAGATGGGAGCATCCCCTCCCAGGAGACCTTGATCAACCAGGAGGAGCAGGGAACTGAAATATGGGTGGTTGAACTCACAGCCCCAAGAGCCCCGTTCAGTGCTCAGACCAACATCTGGGCAGGTAGGCTTGAACTCTTCCCGATAACTGGGCCAGGCTGTGCCTCAGGCAGTTGCAAAAGACCGGTCCAGTCAGATTCCAACTCTGAGCAACTTACCCAGCTGGTGGCGAGAATAGTTCTCAGCACAGCCCTGCAGGTATGTATCCCTGGGGCCTCTCCTTGCCCAGGAGGGACCGAGCTGCTCTGGCCACGGCTTCACATTTGCACGACAGGCATAGATGTCACGCCACCCAGGATTTGGTGTGCCTTATTTACTTTGTTGAATGGGGCTGCCAGCACTCAGGAATTCAGGCCTGCCTCTGTTTGAGTGATCATTAAAAATTCATGCATAGTAATTATAAGTCTGTGTTAGCAAATAATAACTAGGGTTTGAAGGCTTACGGTTTATTTACATGCCACTCGGTCTATTAAGAATGATGGGAGTTAATTAAAAGGATGGCATTATAATTCACATGCCTGTCATAGTTATTTGCTTACATTGTTCCCTGCCAAACTGACAAGTTTTAAGGAGGCTACCCTGACTTGGGAAAATATGGGAAGTAAAAGAATACCGTAGAAGCAGAAGTGATTTGAATAAGCTGCTTCATTGGGTAGAAAATAACTTTGTTTTCGCCCATTCCATTTTTTTCTCAACAAAAACTCTCTTTGCTTTACACTGGCGGAACCTGTTCAACTAGTTATGGGACTGTTCGTTTTTTTGATGCATGGCAGTTTGTGGGCACTGCAGAGGGAAATCATTACATCCATCTAAGGAAGGAGCTTAATATTTCTTCTATGTTTAGAGCAGCTCAGCAATAAAATCAGTGCGAGCTTTCTGAGTTTTGAGTGCAGGTAATCCTTGAATTATGACCCTATGTTTAGCAAACATTCAAAGTTCCAGAGGCGCTAAAGAAATGGTGGGTAGAAACCCGTCCTTGGAGTTCCAGCTGTCCCAGAATCCCTGCAGCCGCATGATCACAATCTGGGCTCGCACTTATGACCGCTTGCAGCGGCCCATGATCATGTGATGGGCATTTGTGACTTTCACGGCTGACTTCCACAGAAAGCCAATGGGGAAGCCGGCAGGGAAGATCAGAAGTCCCTGGGGTAACCCTCCCCCCCTCCCCCCCAGCCACTCCCACAGCCCCCAGGCCTGCTCCCTCCCCCTCCTGGCATCAGCCTCCCCGCCCACCTGCTTGAGAGCCGCTGCGTTGGTTGTGGGAAGCAAGCCGGAAGCGGCCTAGGGAAACCACTCTGGGATTTCGTTTAATGGGGGCGACTGCAAGGATTGCCGTCACTAAGTGATGCAGTGGGGCTTAATTTCAATTGCTTAGCGATTGGATTCTGTCGCAAGCCGAGGACTTACCTATATATGTTTTCAAATTAGTTTTTTTCAGTATTATGCCTGGTATGTAATTACGTTTTTAAAAAATGTATATTTTTTTTTAAATTTCCAGTATTGTATATCATAGTCTTCCCCTCCTCCGCCCTCTTCCCTTCTTCTCTTGATATGCCAGAGTTTGGTTTGTTCTCAATTTCAAAATGATTTTATTTGGCCTATTTTATCCTTTTTTGAAGTTTTGTCATTTCCAATAAATTAATGGTTTAACTGTATTTAGTTCTTTCGATGCTGTTTTTATGAATCTCTTAGAGGTGATTTACATCTATTATGGCCTTTTTTTCTGATTTGCAGCACGCCCAGCTAGGATCCCTATAAGCTTTACGTGTCTCTGATATCCCTGGAGTTGTATTGATTTTTTGAAAAACGATCTGCATTTCTGCTGTGGGCTCCCTTGAAGTCCTGCAACCACCCTATCGTGACCTCACCCTCTGAAGGTGGGAGGAACTTCTCCCCGGCTGCATTTGGATGCCAAGAGGGTGACCTGTGCTGGTCACCATTTTCGGGGTGGATTTTTGCAGTCTGAATCATGAAGCTCTTTCTACAACTTGACCTATTTAGTTCCTTAATAGACTGTTCTTACCTACGCAGCATGCCTGCAATTAACCTACTTTTTAAAAAAAAAACTTTAAAAAAACCCACCAGATGTAGGAATGCAGATGGTGAGAAGGAATGCTTAATCTGGGAAGGTCTATTATAGATGAGAGTGGACTCTCCGTAAAAAGGAGGGGAAATTCTGTTGTGTTGCGGGGATATTTTTATTTTATTTTTTCGAGTCATCAGCCCTCCCTGTGCCTTTCTGCAATAGATAAATGGAAATGTTCTCACCTGATCATAACAAAAAACCAGACAAAAGATTTTCATAACCACTTTATGCAGATAAAAAGACAAAATCTAAAAAATTGCTAGCAGCTATAGATGCATTTTTTAAGTATGTGGGCTGGAAACAATGTTAAATCTTCTGTGAAACCTCTTTTCATTCTGACAATTTTTGTCCTAAATTCAAATGCAGATGCTAAAATACCCCCCCCCCTTTTTTTTTTTACTTTGTCTTACTAGTCACTCTGTGAGAGAAATGGGCAGTTTCTAAATGTGCTACATAAATAAATAAAATATAAATAAATAATATCAATCACATTGCATATTCCATTTTAACTCCTTGAGATGAATGATGAGGAACATTTTGTCAAATTGGATACGTAGTGGGGTTAGATCCACCTCAAGGACAGCCCTCTAAACTTTATTCATGGGTTGGAGATGCAGGAGGAGTCACTAGTATGGAAAGGCACAAACACTCCACAGAAATAAGAACGGCCTGGCATTATGAAGGCATTTTTGGCCATACGTGATGGCACCTTGCTAGCTGACGATGCCTCCAAGACTTCCTGTACAAATAGTCCTTCATTTATGACCACAGTAACCCCAAAATTTCCGTTGCTAAGCGAGAGAGATGTTAAGTGAGCCTTGCCCCATTTTACAACCATTTTTGCTATAATTGCTAAGTGAATCATGCAGTCATTAAGCGAATCTGGCTTCCCCCATTGACTTTGTTTTCGGAAGCAGGCTGGGAAGGCTACAAATAGTCATGTGACCCCAGGATAGGGCAGCTGTCATCAATACATGCTAGTTGCCAAGCACCCAAATTTTGATCATGTGACCATGGGAGATAGCAATAGCCCTTAGACTTGTATACTGCTTCACAGCCCTCTCTACGGGGTTTACAGAGCCAGCATTTTGCCCCCAACGATCTGAGTCCTCATTTTACCCACCTCAGAAGGAGGGAAGGTTGAGTCAACCTTAAGCCTGGTGAGATTTGAACTGCCAAATTGCAAGCCGCCGGCAGTCAGCAGAAGTAGCCTGCAATACTGCACTCTCACCACTGCGCCACCCAGGTGGCCAGGATCGTGTGAAAACTGGTCATATGTCACTTTTTCCAGTGCTGCTGTAACAGTCACTAAACGAATCTTTAAGTCGAGGACTACCTGTATAGGGGTGAAATTCTGCTCAGTTGAACCTCTGAGGCATTGAAAAGTGCGCCATTCTTTCCCTTCAGGGAAGAGGATTCAACTGTGTTTTATATGCAGGAATGCTGGTTTAAAATGATTATTGTATTTTCATTCCAAATCTTTTACATTTATTTTCATGTATCATATGCCACCCATTAGAAATTTGACTCTTGGCATGCGTGCCTGTAGCTGAGCCTCCGACCAGGCACGCTTAGCACTTAACGCTTTATCCCTGTCCTGCAGACAAAGAGCAACGATGATCTTCTAGCTGGAATGGCCGGAGGGGTGAACGTCAGCAACGGTGTCAAGGGGGGCAAGAAGAGCGTTTCTACCTCAACAGCCCCTTCTGCTGCGGGAAGCACCGTCATGAATCCTGTGGAGAGTAAATCAAAGCCCACTGCAGGTACAGGTGCAAAGGTCTTTTCCTTAAGGCCACTGGGGCTCATCTAGCAAGGGACGTTGGCTGCCCGGTGCTATCCCAAAGGTGCTTTTTTTTTTTTCAAGAGGCAACTGGACTTTCTGGTTTTTCTTCAAAGATTTTTCGCTTCTCGTCCAAGAAGCTTCTTCAGCTCTGACTGGATGGTGGGGAATGGAAGGGTTTATACTCCTTGCAGACAGCTGGACATTTGCATCCTTTTAGCAAGTTGTTAGGGCCACCTGGAGATTTATCAGTGTCATCAGGGTCTCCTGAATGGTGCAAATGGGTGCGGCGCCTTCTTGGAACTGCTGAAAGGACTGAGTTGTAGACTAGAGATAGATGACGTCCTATCCCTCCCCCTCTGTTGAGGGAGGGGCTGTTCAATTTAGACAGAGATGGCCTCTTTGACCCCTCTTTCACACCAGCGGTCCTCTCTGTCCCAAATCTGGACTTTGCTGTCTTCAAAAGAGCGGCCTTTGTCTTTTAAATGCAGCTGGACTGCTGAATCTAGTCCAGATGTGTTTGTTCTCCTATGTTGTGCCATGCGCTTATGAAGTGGTTGTTTTGTTTCCCCAGTGTACAGATCTGCACATGGCTCACTGCATTGTACTGCATGTACCACGTTGCTCAGTTTATGTGTGGGTGCTTTATCTTTGGGGTGGACAAGCCTCAGTGTATTCTTGGGTTTGAAGTGTGCATGCATGTCTGTTATGTTGGCTGAAGATCATCCTGACAACGTTGCTTCGTTTATTGTTCTCTTCATTATCTGTTATAGGGGAGCTCCTGAAGAGTCTTTTTTGAGATTTGATGAAGGCCCAGTTGAGATAGCCACACGTTCTGAGGGCTTCCTTGATATGTTTTCGTTCTTTTTCTTTCCCATCTTTGCTTAGTAGGCAGGCCTTCAGCTCGATGGTGTAGGCTTCTGATGACTCCCATTTTGTGCTCCAGTGGGTGGTGAGAATCAAAATGTAAATATTGATCTGTGTGGGTGGGTTTTCTGTAAACGTCAATGTTAAGGCTTCCGTCTTTCTTTCTTTTCTTTTTTTTTAAACAGTTTATTAGTTTTTACAATTAAAAACAACCAACGATACATACACAAATAAACGAGAGAAAAAAAGAAGGAAGAAAAGAAAGAAAAGATTGAAAAGAAAGAAAAAAGAAAGAAAAAGAAGGAAGAAAAGTTAAAAGCATTCTTATTTTTACAGTTTGCAAGATCTTTTTTTCATAGCCTTTGATTTATGTCATATACACACACCTATTCTATACATATATCGCTATCTCATTATTATAGGTTAATACTTTCCTCTTATGCCTTATGGTATATAATTTATCTTTGATCAATCCAATTGTACCAACAATTCCAACTATCATAATATAGTGAAGTGTCTTTGTTTTTTAGTGCCAAAGTCAGTTTGTCCATTTCTGCACATTTTGAAATTTTATCAGTAATCACTTCATCTGGTGGAATTTGATGTTGTTTCCAATATTGAGCGAAGGCTAATCTGGCTGCGGTTAAGATATGTATTGTTATGTATTTAGCTTTTTTGGAAATTTGTTTGTCAAAGATCCCTAGTAGGAAGGACTCTGGTTTATATTCGATCTGCTCTTTTGTAATTTCTTCCAACCAAGTTTTGATTTTCTTCCAGTAATTTTGGGTTTCTGTACATGTCCACCACATATGGAAAAAGGTTCCTTCTTTTTTCTTGCATTTCCAACAATACGGACTCATGTTGGGGCTTCCGTCTTTCTTAATGTGTACTGCACAGTCCAGGAAGTCTAGACTATTTTCCTTAACATCTTCCCACGTGAATTTGATGTATCTGTCCACAGAGTTGATATGTTTGGTGAGGGCTTCCAATTCCTGTGTTTTGATCTTGGCCCAAGTGTCGCCCATATACCAGTGAGGGGGTGGATTCCTGTGAAGGAGTCTAAGGCTTTGGTTTCTACCTCTTCTATGTTTGACCCTGATGACACAGATAAAAGTGACTCTGATGACACAGACAAATCTCCAGGTGACCTCAACGACCCTCTCAAAGGATGCAAATGACCAGCTGTCTACAAGGAGTATAAATCCTTCCATTCCCCATCATCCAGTCAGAGCTGAAGAAGCTTCTTGATGAGAAGCAAAACATCTTCAAAGACAAACTAGAAAGTCCAGTTGCCTCTTGGAAAAAGAACCTTTGGGATAAACCATGACTGAGAATCTCCATAGACACTGCACGGTGCTAATTCTCATTAACAGCTTAGCGGTGCTGAGTTGACCTTCTCTGGGCTCAGAACCTAAGCAGGCAGGGGAGACCACCATGTAATTTCAGTTTGACTAGATTGACAAGTTTTTTTAAAAATGGGAAAAGTCAATGGCCAATCATGCCATTACTCCTGAGAAATCTACATGGCTGGGTCTCAATGAAGTGAGTTCAGCTCAGCTCGAAGGGGCCTTGTTCACAGCCCTACTACTGTATATGACATGAATTCGTATTCAGTTACCCAGCATCATGAACGGATTACCTGCTTGTGCATTTGTTTTATTTTAAAATTAAGTTTACTGCTGACTATAACCGAACATGATATGTAAATTAGCAAACAGAGATTACTACTTAACTTTCCATGCCAGAACTACAAAATTATTTTGAATTCTGGTTTTGGTTTGGAGGAGGAGAAGTAAACAATAGTGCTTGCGAAAGGAAGATCTTGGTACAGATCATCGGTGCAACTGGAAAAATGAAGACCTCCATTTGATCATCTGGATATGAAACTTTCTCAGAGACTTATCAGGGACCTACTATGTTGTTGTTCCCCCTATTTGTAGTATATATATAGCTACTCAACATTAACTTTTATGCCTTAATGTGGTATGATTATTTTTATTTTGTACGTTGCTACACACAATTGTTTTCAATCATTAACTTTTAAGTATGTGCATTAGAGTTTATAGGCACATATTCCTGAAAAAAAATACTTTACCTTTTTCAGAATTGTGTCTTTACTTACCGATTTTCTATTTTTTTTTTTAAACCACACAGGTATGAATTCTTCAGCTAAGCGTAGCACTTCATCTGGAAATAAGGAATCCAGCTCTTCTAGGGAAAGAATTCGTGACCGTTCGCGACCAACTCAGAGCAAAAAACTGCCCCTGACTGGTCAGACGAGCAGCGATGTCCTCCTTGCAAAACGTTCCCGCAGCCGTGCCAGTCAGGATTCCGATGTTCGCATGAGCAAGTCGAAGTCAGACAACCAGATCAGTGATAAATCTGTTCTAGAGGCGAAAGTGAAAGATCTCTTGATGCTAGCCAAAACGAAAGACGTGGAGATCCTCCACCTAAGGAATGAACTAAGGGAGATGCGTGCTCAGCTGGGCCTTCACGAAGACCCGTTTGAGGGTGATGACAAATCTGAGGATAAAGAAACAATTGTGATCCACCAGCCGACGGATGTGGAATCCACACTGCTGCATTTGCAAGAGCAGAACTCTGCCATACGGGAGGAGCTGAATCAGCTGAAGAATGAAAACCGGATGTTAAAAGATAGATTAAACGCCTTGGGTTTCTCTCTAGAGCAAAGGTTGGATAATTCCGAAAAGCTGTTCGGCTACCAATCTCTGAGCCCAGAAATGACAACTGGCAGCCACAGCGACGGTGGAGGAACTGTTACTTCTTCGGTAGAAGGTTCCGCTCCTGGTTCCATGGAAGACCTCCTAAGCCAGGACGAGAATACCTTGATGGACAATCAGCACAGTAACTCCATGGACAACCTAGATAGTGAGTGCAGCGAAGTGTATCAGCCGCTCACTTCCAGTGACGATGCTCTGGATGCTCCCTCGTCTTCAGAGTCGGAAGGATTGCCGAGCATGGAGACCTCGAGGAAAGGGAGCAGTGGCAATGCCAGCGAAGTGTCCGTGGCTTGCTTGACGGAACGGATTCACCAGATGGAAGAGAATCAGCACAGCACCGCGGAAGAGCTCCAAGCAACGCTTCAGGAACTTGCAGATTTGCAGCAAATCACGCAGGAGTTGAACAGCGAGAACGAAAGGCTTGGAGAGGAAAAGGTCATCCTCATGGAATCTTTGTGCCAGCAAAGTGACAAGCTGGAACACTTCAGCCGACAAATCGAGTATTTCCGCTCTCTTTTAGACGAGCATCATATATCCTACGTTATTGATGAAGACATGAAAAGTGGGCGCTACATGGAGCTCGAGCAGCGTTTTATGGACCTGGCAGAGAATGCCCGCTTCGAAAGAGAGCAGCTTCTGGGTGTCCAGCAGCATCTGAGCAACACTTTGAAGATGGCCGAGCAAGACAATAAGGAAGCCCAAGAGATGATAGGGGCGTTGAAGGAACGGAATCACCACATGGAGCGAATTCTTGACTCGGAGCAGAAAAGCAAGGCCACTCTGGCGGCCACCTTGGACGAGTACAAAGCTACCGTCTCCAGTGACCAAATTGAGATGAACCGGTTAAAAGCGCAGCTGGAACACGAGAGGCAGAAAGTTGCTGAGCTCTATTCTATACACCAGTCGGGTGATAAGTCAGACATCCAGGACTTGCTAGAGAGCGTCCGGCTTGACAAAGAGAAAGCAGAGACATTAGCCGGCAACTTACAGGAAGAGCTTGCTCGGACACGTAACGATGCCAATCGTCTCCAGGATGCCATCGCAAAGGTAAAGGTCTGAAAGTGTAGCTGAATAGGAAGGCTTTCCCAGGTGTGTTGAAAGTGGGAGGCAGACAAATCACTTGGAAGCTTCTGGGAGCCACGTGCACGGCTTCCGGGACCTGTCCTTTGGTTCTCCCTTAAGTGCCTAGAGCTAGTGCTGAGCTGCTCAGCCCCCAGACAGATCCTACTCCAGACCCACTCTGTCCTTCAAGGTTAGGCCTCCCTTTATCTCAGAAGAATAAAGGTAGCAGTGCCGTCCTTACATTTCAGCTATGAGCAGGTATACAAACATAGATGTGTCCAGTGGTGATGAGAGGGTTTTCAGTAGCCCGGATAAAAATTGGAACTAACCGTAGTTGAGTTTTCCACATCAGGGAGCGTACGTGATTGGTATGTCGTAGGCAGCAGTCTTCGACGTTGATAGGAAGCTAGTAAACTCTTCACAGATTCAGTTATTTGCAATATCTAGCATGACAGCATAAAGGGAGACTTCAGCCGAGATGGCACTCTCCAGTGTTCAACACAAATCTAATCCTGAATGCCAGGGTTGAAATCTGTTTGGAAGAAGCAATTACAGTCTGGTCATTTGTCTTAAACTAGATAGAAGATGAGTATAGAGCTTTCCGAGAAGAGGCCAAAAAACAAATTGAGGATCTGAACATGACCTTAGAGAAAATACGCACAGATTTGGAGGAAAAGGAAACAGAAAGGAGTGACATGAAAGAAACCATATTTGAACTGGAGGACGAAGTGGAGCAGCATCGAGCAGTGAAACTCCACGACAACCTCATCATCACTGACTTGGAGAGTAAGTAGCCTCTCGGCTTTCCCTGGGACTTTTGCAGTTGCGGGGCAGGGAGAAGGGTCAAGTTCTTACAACAATTAAATCACTGCAAGAACATCAAGAAAATGAATTCTTCCTTTCCTTAATGTCCTTGCAGTGCTTTAAATGTTAGCATTGTTATTTTCTAGTGGGAAAATAGATGTGTCCCCAGTTTGACTATGATGCCTGAATTTGAATTAGTTGGATTGTGAGAATGCGACATTTTCACAAACAGCTTTCTCTAAAGAAAAAGAGTTACTAGAGAGATGGTTGCTGATCTGGATTGGGAGGGCAGATCCATCTGCCCTATTCTTTGGCTGGATCTCTCCTTGGTCCAGATGAGATTGATTGTGGGAATTGTAGTTGTACAAATTGTAATTAATTTTTATTGCCTTTTTGGTTGATTTCATATGACTTTATCCATGCTTTAATCATTACATTTGTCCTGTAAAAATTATATTATCAACACTCTACTGTAAAATTGTAATTTAACCAAAAAAAAAAGAATGCATAAAATAATTAACTCACAGTGTTGTGAACTGGAAGGAAAATTGGAGGTTATAGATGATCCAGTCCAACTACCAGGGTAGGAATCCTTTAAATCACCCTTTCAAAAGAGAGCAAAATGGCTGTCATTTGAAAACTTCGGGGGGGGGGGGGGAGCATAAGGCCAAGAAGGGGGCCTTGGAAGAGGATCTATCTCAATAGTTTGCTGCAACTTGATACAGAACTATTTACAAACAACTTTGCTTTTTTCCCTTTTTCTTAAAAAACCCCCCTGTTTTTTACAATATAGTGAGAATATAAAAGCAAGATGTATATAACCTACTTAAATTATCTAGGAGACTTCAAATAAATGCAGATCTTCTGGATGTCATATCTTCTAACCCATTCTGCTTTAAATATCAGGGTGCCATCGGAGAGAGACAGAGAGAGACAGAGAGAGAGAGAGACAGAGATCAAATCTGCAGATACATTAGATTTCATTTGTGAAAGGAATGTATCATAGATGCAAATAAAATAGAGATAGCACGGATGTTTATGAAATCAAAATGTTATAAATGTGGGGATTATTAACCTGCGCTTCGAATAGATGTAATACTCTGCTTCTTTTTGAAATATTAAAATAGAGTAAGGGGACGGATTTGAAAACAAATTTTAAGCGGCCTAAAGTTTTATCAACACGGGCCTCAATTATTTTAGTAATGGCACTGTAGAAAATATTGTCTTGGGAGAGCTCTAGTTAAGATTAGAGGTTTAGAATTTACTTGGGGCAGCAGGATATGGAATGCAGGTAATTTGGGACAAAATGGATTATAAGCTTTTCAGTGGGAGGGGATGTGGGAAGCGAAGGGTAAAATCGGGACATTTGATATGGGTCAAAATGATGATAATTGGGGTTAGGGATGTAGAAGAGGGTGAGGGTGAAGGAAGATGGTGTAGAAGGGATGCCAGGCATTTCAGAGAAGCCATTTGGACACTAAAGGAACTCAGGAACCGTGGGCACTCCGTCCTCAATGAGGCATCATGAGAGCTGGGCTTCAGGCCATTAGTTGAAGGACAACCTACGGCATGTGAGCTGCGGAGACAGCACGGCCAGCAAGCCTTCTTAGAATCTGCCCGGGAGAGTTGGGCATTGGTGTCCTGAGTGCTAGAAAAGTGGAAGGGAGAGAGAGTGTGGCTTTGAGCTTGCAGGGTCCAGCCTGAAATGAAACTGAGAGGCAGGGATGGATGGCCCAGAGTCTGGATAAGAAGACTACGGAGTGCTGATCAGTGATCTGGAGAGAGGTAGGTAGTCTTGGCTTGGCTGGGAAGAATATGACCGAGGCTTCCTGGGTTGTGCTCTCCAGGGGGTGCTGGAGAGGGTTGATGAGGGCACCTCCTGAGATGAAGGAAGGGGCCAGGAGGAGAGATCTGGTAGGGTTGGTGGGCACTTCCCAGCCTGAGATATTTGAGGAGGATCGGAGGGTTGATGAGGGCACCTCCTGAGATGAAGGAAGGGGCCAGGAGGAGAGATCTGGTAGGGTTGGTGGGCACTTCCCAGCCTGAGATATTTGAGGAGGATCGGAGAGAAACTTTAGTTTGACAGGCAGGCAAGGCAAGAAGGGTGGTTGGAAGGAATGCTTATTGTGTATGTAATTAACCAGCCTATTCTGGGGAAGTGACCACCCAAGGTGGCTAACACTGGTGCAATGAATGCAGCGCCTGAAACTAAGAGGGTGGGTCCGGTTCTCTCTGGGTTGTGTCAGCCTTGTGTGGGTGTCCAAACAGCGAACACACCCAGATGAACTAATCCTACTTGATGGTAAGGTTACATTAACAGAACCCCACAAGTTCCCTTTCCTCTCTTTTTAGTCTCTGGGAAAGTAGGGAGGGTCCCTCCTAAAACGCTTCCCCGTCTGTGGGTTGAGCTACCTCTTATCAGGGCTGCAGGTCTTCCCCCTTGTCTCCCGAAGCTGATCCACAGACTGTTACAGGGCGGGGCTGAACTGAAACCCTAATGGGCTGGGGAAGATATGGCGGCAGGCGCAGGGTGGGCCATTCGCACTTCCTAAGCCGGCTGTCCTGGACCACCCAGACCCCCTACAGAACGAAGGACCTTCCTGCCTGTTGTTGTCTCTTGGCCTTGCCTCCTCTAGAAGCCGAGAGATCTGAACACAAGGGGGGGGGGATGCTCCTGGTGGGAAGGTCTCTCCGCCACAGGGTGACCTCTCTCCAGATGTCATGGCCCCGATTACCAGGAAGCTTCGGGGCCCCATTCCAAATCCCCTCAGCCTTGCATAGCAGAGTGCTAGGTTCTCTCCCACAGGGTTGTTTAAACCTGCACAACGTTTCACTGACACCCAGATGGCTGGTTTTCCAAATGGGAGTCAGCCAAGCTAACCTAAGAAGGGCAGGACGCAGCCTGCCTCTGCAGCAGAGGCCCCCAAACTTGGCAACTTTAAGGCTTGTGGACTTCGACTCCCAGAATTCCTCAGCCAGCATAGTTGAAATTCACAAGTCTTAAAGTTCCCAGGTTTGGGGACCCCTGCTCTACAGAGCCATGCAGGTTAGAATACGCGTGGGATTGCACAGAGCAGCAGGCGAGGTGTTTACTGAGATATTTAAGGCAGAGCAAGTAATAAACGGAGAACAGCAGCTTCTGTTTAGAGAGCTACTATTCAACGGTCCTTGGTTCCCAGGACTCTGCCCACAACCTGGTATCTTCTGTTTCCTCGACATTCACCCTCCAGGCCACTTGAGGCTGGGCTGAAGGTTGCTTGTTTCTCAAGTCCCTGGGAAGGTAGCGAGGGCAGGAGTGGTCCAAACAGCATCCAGTATCATCAGGCAGCCCCCTGCCAGAGCTGCCCCTGCCCGTGCATTGAGAAGATCTTGGGGAGGCTTGTGAAGAGCCCTGCCTGAAGGGGGGGGGGGGGGGGACAGGCCTTCTCTCTCATGTCCCTCCAGGTTTAGAATTGCCTCCCACCCACATCCACACCCCATTTTTAGTAGTCTTGAAAGATGGTTTCGTCCCAGTGGGCCTTCAGTTTATAGATTTAGTGGTACCCATCTTGGGCAGGACAGATACATTATTTGATTCGTTAGTCCTTTTATTCTTACAACTTGATACGGTTATTTTTGCTTTTTGATCATGTTTGTTATATTCTACCCATTACTTTCTGTTTTGAGGGATCTTTAAAAAATGGTATTACATAAATCTTATTTATTCCCACCCCCACCCCCCAATACTTCCAAACTCAGCATGCATTCTTAATGCATAAAATTAAAAGATCAACTTTACCTAAACCAGCCATTAAAATTATTTGTGTTAGGGAAAATTGCAGCTTAAAATATGCATTCAGAAAGAAAAAGCTGCATATAAGTAGAAAAGCATATCTTAAACTTTGGAAGGAGGTTCATACTTTTACAGCTTTTCAAGTGAAATTTAATATTTCCATTATATTGAATAATAAAATTTGAAAGTAGGTAGAGATTAAAGAATCCCAAATATAAAATTCAGTTCCCTTTTCTAAATAAGAGATATCCTTAAATGGGACGAAGAGAATGTTTTTTTTAAAAAGGTGGAGTGTTTTACTTTCAGTAGAGTAAGTGGTTGAAAAAAAATTGTTCAGATGCAACCCAGCCAATCATGAGTGGATCATTATTTCCTTGTCTGTTTCTGTTTATCTGGTGCTATTTTCTACCACATTTGCCTCACTAATTTAGAAGTATTGTAGACAATCAAACAGCAATAAATTTGTAACCATTTGTTTTAAACCAGGTGGAATAATATCTAAAAGATGGATGTTGAAAATCTAACATTTTACAACTAAGCTGGTTACTGTATCTACACCAAGACTCTTCAAACTTGGCAAGTTTAAGACTTGTGGACTTCAACTCCCAGAATTCCCCAGCTAACATGACTGGAGGAGGAATTCTGGGAGTTGAAGTCCACAAGTGTTAAACTTGCCAAGTTTGAAGGCCCCTGATCTACAGGGTCTTGCATACCTCAGAGATTAAGGTGTAAAGGAAATAATTTTACAACCACTAATTAAAAAGGAAGGTAGCTATAGGAAGGTGTTTCCCAGATTGGGCCTT